GCAGTAGGAAATGTACAAGTAGTCACCGGAGAAAGTCGAGATACGGTGACTCAAAATATAGCAAAACGGAGGAATCTGAGATTTGTGCTTCGTCTTCTGGACCAAATCAAAGAGCAAGAAATCTTCCAAGGATCCTGAGCGAGTTGAAGAAATTCAAAGAGATGATTGAATCATAGAAGAAATGTTTAGCTCCTGAAGATGAAGAAGAAGTTGATGGTGGCGCTTTTAAGACCTGGTGAAGGAGACGCCATAGCAAAGTATGTGCAACAAGATAAACATATCCCACGTACTGGGTCTTAATTCTGAGAAGTTTGAGGATCTTGGTTATGTAATGAATGGAAGTAGGCATCAAAGGATGAATGCTATTCGTATTAGAAAGAAAAACCGGGTTTAGAGTGCCAAAGGCAAACGGGCATTGGCTATGTCAAACTGTGAGTGTGAGGAGAAGGCAAAGCACGAGGCTAAGGTTATGCATGATCTGTCACCGGGCTTGTGCAACTCCCATATGTCTTGATTACTCATGAAACCCTCCACTACGTTAACTTCTCCAAGGTAAAGAAAGAACGCTTTGTGGCTGTTATATCCGGCATAAGCAAAACCTATGACAGAATAGAATGAGAAAAAATTGTCAGGACGGTTAGGGAGAGACTTGGATTTCACTAAAAGTTTATATTATGCAATTCTTGAGCACAAGGTCAAGTGATATCTTAGGTTTGTTTGTGGGAATGTTGCCTCCTTCGCTATAGGGATGGGACCTGTTGCTTGCTGGCTCTTGGCGTCACAGATCTTCCCATTACGGCTAAGAGCGCAGGCTTCAGCGCTTGGGGCGGTTGGCCATGTCCTTCCTCTCTGTGTCACGTGCCATCACAGTAGGAGGAACCTTCCTCCTCGTGTCTGCGCTCCCGGTTATCTTCGTGTACATGCTAGTTCCAGAGACAAGTGGGAAGTCACTGGAGCAAATTAATGGAGTTGATGTTTCAGGGCAGATTGGAAATGAAAGGCACTGAAGTCGAGCTAGGAGATGCTGAGCGTCTTGTGCGCAAGAATCAAGAGCTTTGATATTTCAGGGCAGAATTAGACATGTTAAAGCGGAAAAGGCAGAAGAGAAAAGTTACGCTCTTGTGTTTTAGATCCAATGAAAATACGACAGATATTGCAAGTGAGTTTGCTGGTGTATAGACCCATGCATATTAAGACAGCTGCTCTGTTTTTTCCCTTTGTTTCAAGAAGAAACCATGTTATACTCAGAGACAATACAGAAAGTTCACTTCATGTTTCAATCTTCTTCTAACATTCAAACAGTTAAAAGAGAGATCTCCTCACAGTTCCTCTAGACATCAACTCTGATTGGTTCACCATCAAACAACAACAACGACATTTTGCTATGGGTGAAGATTTGAGCTTGTCATCTCTCTTGCTTAACATTTCATCCATCACTGGGTAACTTCATCTCCTTTCTCACTGACTTGTGTCTTATTTTTTGTTTTTCTCATATGTGTCTGAGATCAGGTTACGATTCAATAGGACAGAGTCAATGGCAATGCCTGAGTTTTCATCATTCCATTTCTTAGATAATCTAGAAGGTGTATATATGTTTCTGATCTCTTACCTCATTGCCTAAAAGGGGTGTGATTTATACTTGTTCTTTCCAATTCCCACTCATTGATTGCATTTCTCACTCATTTTGTAGGGCTTTCATGGTGGCTCATACTTTTGGTGACATCGTTTCTGGTGAACCTAAGGTTGTTGTGAGTGCGTCACCATCAATCAGTTGGGGGATTGTTTGACTCACTAACTGGAAGCATTGGTATCTCATCAAGGGCAAAAACTGCACCCATTGCATCTTCTTCCTCGTCTGGAACTGCAACAACTGGAGCTGCAGCAAGGTAAGACACTGTGTCCATATAATAAAGAAGGAGTAAGTCCCAGGGAAATGTTTGAACCAGATTCCCTTACAAGGTGACTTCTGGGGATTGTATATTATGGAACACATTGGGGAAAGCTCTATCAGCAGCCTCAATGTGTGATTCTCGAGCTCAGCGGTATATGATCTGTTTGTTTGTGTTTGAAGTCATTAAATGAATGAGCATTGATGATGATGATGTTCTCGTTTTTTGCCGCGGAAGTGAATCTGTCTGTATATTATTGTTGTTGTTACCGGAGAAAAATAAGTTTTTATCTGCCAAGGAACATGTGTGACAATAAGCGACTAAGGTGGTTATGTTCATGAAATTGCCACTGTTTTACTTTTGCCTGCAAGTATAAGAAGGAAAAGTGCCCAATGTGAAAATGCGATATATGGTATGAAAAATTGCAAGACAAGTCTATATATATGAAATAAAGTAGCTAATTCGGTGTATACAAAACATTAACACAGTCACTGTTTTGACAGATAAGAAGTAAATTGTCGCCGATACTGAATGATGCAAAATTGTCGCCGATACTGAATGATGCAAATTGTCGCTTTCTTTAGGAATGATCTATCTTGGTTCCTGTAATGAAGAAGTAGCAGTCTATTATATTTGCTCTGATGGATCGAAGTGAGGCAGAACTGGGAGATGCTCTCACTCGTTTCTTGCCACTTGGTCCTGGACTTGTATACCTGGGCAAACAGGTTGGCGATGTGTTCTACTTAATCCTGCACTTTGTACGTAATCAATATTTGTGTTGCTTGAACAAGATCAAGTTGTAGAGGCTACAGCTGAAGTTTCAATGAGAAGATTAGAAAGTATTGTGATATGGCACTTCTTTCATGTGCTTATGCTGGAACTGGGAATGTCCTTAAGGTATCTAATCTTTTGTGCTAGTGGTTGAATGTCATAATCGATTGCTTTCTAGTTCAGTTGTTGACTTCTCCATTTATGTTCAGGTCCAAGACCTTCTTTCTCAATGTGGAGAGAATCTTGAGAGAAAGGTGACATCCACCAGGGTCCAGATGTGTGCTATGTGCTTGGACTAGCGATGGTTTCTATGTAGAACTGGGCATTGGTATGCAGATCCGTTCTTTGGAGCGGATGCTACAATACGGAGAACAAAACATTCGGCGTGCTGTGCCTTTGGCCCTTGGTCTCCTATGTATATCAAATCCAAAGGTGAATACTTTTGTAAATATGGTTTTACCTTCAGAATATTGCTGGTGGTTGTATAGAGTAACACTGGTTTTTTAAATAACAATCATACTCGGGAAATACCACTATGTGCTGTACTTCCTCGTTTTGGCGATGCAAGTGAGTTCCATTTCAGTCCGGTGCTTTCTACATTGGTTTTGATCCAAAATTTGTGAAAACATTGTAGCCAAGGATGATGTTGATGGTTGACGAAAACCTGAAGCCACTGTCAGTGCCAGTGCGGGTAGGACAAGCAGTTGATGTGGTTGGACAAGCAGGTCTGCCCAAGACCATAACGGATTTCCAGACACACTCTACACCTGTTCTCCTGGCTGCTGGGGAGAGAGCCGAGCTAGCCACCGACAAGTACGTTCTTCTTCCTACGTCCTTGTACACTTTCTGTTTCCATATGAAAAGCTTTGGTGGTGTGATTATAAAACTCGGACTTCAAATTGCAAGCAGATACATTCCTCTGTCGCCGATACTAGAAGGGTTCATCATCTTAAAGGAGAATCCAGACTAGAGAGAGAGGAGTGAAGAGAGATAATAATGGTTATGTAAACTTGGAAAGCTCTATGCTTATGGTTTTTCGAGACCACCATAGGAACAAAGAGAGATCGGCATTAGTGCTCTGCATTCTCACTTGTCACTTAGTTTTTTTTTTATGTGTTTATTATTTCGTCCATCTTCCTTGATCTCATGGTTTTATGCTTTCCTTTTTCTTATCCTCCGTTTGAGCTTATTTCATTATCTTGGGATCTTTGTATAACATGTTAAATTACTTCCTAGTCTGTTTTTCTGTTAATTGCAAGGTCCACACATCCGTGCCCCAATCAACTTGGAAAAATGAGACGCTTTTTTAGAAATCAAGAGATAAACTTACCATTCTTTATGAATCTATATCTCCGGGACATCAAAACGACATGACTCTACTTCAATAAACACAGGCAGGGATTCATAATTCCAACGAGACTAAGAGTGGAGAATCAGAAAGAAGAGCGGAGAATAATAAAATATCCTTTAACTAAACACATAATGATGATGTTGCGAGATCTTGCGCATTCAAACAGAAGTTAAAATAAAATAAAACAGGAGTTTTTTCGCTGCAACGAAGGCTAGCTAAAAATTCTACACATCATCTCCGGTTTTAAGCCTTTTAGGTTGTGGTGGGCGTTTGCTTTTGGTTCCGAAACCGAAAAAGTGTACTTGATCGGGCTGGAGTTGTGGCCATGGACGGCTTTTTGGTTTGGTGTCCTTACTTGGAGTCGCCAAGAAAACACGGTAACCTTTCAAACCTAAATGTTCAAGGATGTCGAAGAACTCGCTAGTGAGATTATCTGAGACTACGATCAAATTTGCTCGCCTATAGTGGATTGACCATAAGAGAATGTCATTTAACATTCTCTCAAGCCTACCTTTTTTATTCCCTGAAAAAAAAAAGACAAGATTACATATATCTGAAAAAGAAAAGAAAGGAGAGAGAGTTGTTTGGAGATTAAAGAACTCACCTGCCGGATATAAGTCGATTCTGGATTTCGGACACAGAAAGTCAGCCCAAGAGTCTTTCTTCTCATCAACATAAGAAGAGATTGACAGGTCACCCATAACACAAGAAATTTCAGTCAAACATGACATGATATTTGTGTAGACAGTATCAGGAGACCAACCAACACCAACAGGGAATGGGAAATCCTTGGCATCCCAGAAGAGGCCAGTGGAATCCTCTAGGACGGGTTTCAGACGTTCTGCATAGTTTCACAAACGATACAATTAGATGATCCATGAACCATTACTTGGATTGAAATATACGCAAACAAGAGATGGAGAGAGGTCTTACTGAGAGAAGACACACGTGGCATAGTCTTTCCTCCATCTACAAATAGTGCGCGGCAATAAAGTGAGTCTGCAGACTGAAAAAGACCATCTTGAGGCTCTACAATGATGCAAGCGTGATGATATCTCAGTTGCAAACACTGAAGAACCCTCTTCAACTCTGGATTTTGTTTTGCGATTACCACATAAGCTGTTCTGTCAGGATAGTTGTTTCTTGACATTTCAAGAATGTCCACAGAGATTCGTCCAGGAATCGACACTGGACCTCGACCTGCTCAAAGTAACAGAGATATTGATATTGATTATTTATCAGACATAAGTGTAAAAGTAAAAGTATAGGAATGGATTAAGTATACGTTTTGGTATGTATGTGATATTGGCTTTGTCGTACAAATCCGATTCGTCGTGGTTGGGTTTGTCACCATACACCCAGATATCCAGCCAACCATGAACGCCCATCCGGTGAAGAGCTAACTTGATGTTTCGATGGATAGAAACAAAATCAGCACTTTCCGGGATTGGATAGTCCTCCAAGTTCCAGAAAAGGCATGTGTGAGGGCCTCGATAAATCACTAGACGAAACATAAACGAATTAGGATTACAAAAACGAATGAGGATACAATAGGTGCCTGTTACGATACAATAGGAGATGGAGAGAGCGAGGTCTTACAGTATTCGAACATGGAGTAATCTTCGGCTGCGAGGAGATATGCGAATTGAGTGGGATCTTCTTCAACGTCGGAGGAGGAATCTTCGTCGTCCTCGGAAAGATCTTCTTCGACCTTGGAGAGATCTTCTTCTTCGGAGGGATATTTGATGAAACCAACGTTATCTCCGAGATATTCTTCGTCCGCGGAGGAATCTTCGCTCGAGGAGCAATAATCGTCATCGGAGAGATAATCAACCTTGGAGAGACCCTCTCCTTTGATCATGGGGGAGTCTTGGGCGTCGGAGAGATCTGCGCTCATGGTTTTGAGAATGAATTAGGGTTTCTCGAGAGATTTCTGTGAGGGGATTTTCTGAATCGCGATGATTTTATTTAGCAGCCCTTGGATCTCAAAGAACAAATAAAAAAATCCTTTTCTTTTTCTTTGTTAAAAAGAAATCCTAAAAAGTCGCTTGTGTTGGGCCGGATTTCAATTGGCTTACTCCACGTATTTTATTTTTCGTCCATATCTTTTCTCTTTGGAATATATTCTTTCTTTCATCATAGTTTCTTCTTATTTTGGGTTGTCGTTTGTAATGTTATTTTGAACAGTTTGTATTCTACACAGTTTATTCTAATAAGATGAC